TGGTCAGTGTCGTGCCCACGACGGTTGGAGTGATACATGCATCTTTCATTATGCTTGTAGTGAGGAGAATAAGTATTAGGTTTTTGAGGAGGCTCCCTTAATACAATCAGCTTGGCTTCCAATACCTGATGCAATGCTTGAGTCAAGAACATGTTAATTTTGGTGAATTGCCTCTCGGGCTTGTCTTGCTTTTGCTGATTACCCTGTTGTGGTTGGCGAGGTCGTTGTTGAACCCTTGGCGTAACATCCGTCTGGAAAGGCCTACTTTCCAAGCTAACTTTTTGTCTCATCAGGGGTTGATGAATGACTTGATCCCCCTCCTTGACTGCTTGCTTCATATGCTTGTATCCGTCTTAATGAAGTTTATTGATAATGGCTCTCAACTCTTCTTGTCCCCGGGCTAGGCCTTGGATAAGAGCCATCTGCCTCAGCATCTGGGTTCTCATAGCTTCCACCTCATCTTGCAGTTTTTCCAACCGTTCGTCCTTATTGTCTTCAGGACTTTTCTTGGAGCAACAAGGAATAAGGTGTCGAAGCGCCCCGAATGCGTGTTTTCGGAATAAAAGGTAAGTTATGAGAAGTTTTACCTAGGAGATCCCGCTTAGCACGCAAAAGGGTGCTAAGCGCGAGTTTGCTTAGCGCATTTTGTTGCGTGTTGCTTGCGTTTTGACATTTTGGAAGAAGCTTAGTTTTGGAGCCCGCTTAACGCAGATAGCGCACTTAGCGCGGTTTAGGTCGGTTTAATGTGTAAACATCGTGCAGCCCGCTTAGCATGGTGAGTCCGCTAAGCGCGGTCTGCTAAAATTTATTTTATAACTTAATTTTCAATTCATTTTTCGTTATGGTCTTTGGGGTGTTTTTGTTTCCAAATTCCATAAACCTTATTTTTTGATAGATTAGCTTAGATAACAACTGTGAAGCTTGCATACGGATGATCCGGGGTGGATTGCTCTTTGATCGGCGCTGACAAATCGGTAGATTTGCTGTTCATTTCTCTTTTTCTTTGTGTATTCTCTATTGGTTAGGTTTGTGTATGTATTTTCTTTGAACTCATGTATATTTGTCTCCCTTGGCGTTGTATAAATCTTGCTTTATAAATATTTATCGATTGTTGTCCTGGATTTTTGCTTTGTGCTTAGGGGTTTGGGTTGTTATAGACATATAATGCTTGAATTCTTATCTATGAGGATTATCTAATAGTGTATGAATTCTAGAGATAGATTTAGCATTGTTATTTACTTGGGTGTCTGTGATTAATGTCTCTGTGTTGGTTGTGTTGACTGAGAGATCGTTAATGCGAGTAGCACGATTGACCTCTGTGTTGTTAAGGCTGGTTGAGAGATCGCTGCTGAGATGATATAATGGATATTATGTTTGATACGTGATTACATCGACGAGTCTCGTAGGTTGAGTATGACGTGTTTATAGGTTTAAGTTTGTGAAGAGTGGGTTATTGTGCATGCTTGATAAGTCTTTTTTCCCGGGAATGAATTCTTTTCCTGTTGATAACTTTTAATTCCCGTATTTAATTTTAACCCATTTAAACCCAAACTCATTAACAAGAGATTTGTCGAATGACACTTTAATACACCAATCTCTATGGACACAATACGATATAACCTAAATATCAACCCGTAAAAATAATACTTTACTTTTTGCTTTCCGCTTTATCACACCAGCAAAATTGCACCGTTGTCGGGGATTGGTGTTTATTGTTTTTCATTGCGATATCTTCTTTGCTTTTGAGTTTTTTAATTAATGTATATGTTGTATAGAATGTGTACATAAACTTGTCTATTTTTACTTGTACATGTTTTGTGTTTACTTTCCATAGTTGTGCATATATGTGTTTGTCTTTGTTGTCACGTATTATTGTGAGTTATCTCGTTTTCGTAATGTTTGTTGTGTGGTTGTTAGGACACTTTCTTTAGGTTTTCCGATGTGAAAATACTATGGCATGACGAGATGAGGTTACTAGCTCGCACAATAAAGCGTCGAGCTTATAACATAAAACAAGCATGCTTTGCTTGTATTCGTTTATGTATATATTGACTTGTGTTTTAACAAGTTAAAATTGGACATGTTTTATAACTCTCAAATCTTCACTTTTCAACTTGTTAATTCATTTTCACCCGTTTGTTTTGTTATGCCAATTTGTGTTTTTCCGTAAGCTTGTCGTGTTTAGCTTAAGGTATGTTATCGGTTGTAAATATTGTACATGTGTAGTTGAGATTGTGTAGGTGAATGTGGAGAGAAATGGTTGAATTCAAGTTGGGGAGAGAAATGTTTACGTGCTTATGTCATGATTCCTATGAGGATGTGAAAAAAGAAAAGAAAAAATAAAGAAAAAAAGTTTAAAAGAAAGAAAATAAAAAGAAAGAAAAAAGAGAAAAGTTTTGAAAAACAAAAATAAAAATATTTTAAATAATATTGTGATAATAAGTGATGTGTGTTGGTTTGAAATTTGGAATGAAGAAAAAGTTTTATTCAAATTATTTTGCTTGAGTCTTTGTGAGTTGATCACTCCCTTAGGTTAAGGCAAATTTTTGTTTTGATTAGCTTTAGGACTCATCCCTTGATTGTTAACCAAACCACATTACAACCTTGAAAAATCCTTGTAATTATTGCCTTTGTATTTTCAATAGGAGATTTTGGATGAATGCATGATTTAGTCTATTGCTTGCAAGATTGTGGATGAGTGTTTTTTGTCCCTCACCTTTATGTGTTCTTCATCTACCGATGAATTTTTACTAGGTGTGATTCATGATTGAGCTTGTTTTGTTTTATAATGTTTAGTATGATTTTTGTACTTAGGATTGATTTTGTTTACATGTTGTCGTTGTAGGATTTTGCTAAGTATTTATCTTGCGTGTGCGTTTTTGTTTGAACCATACATTTGTTTTCCGTTTTAAAACTTGTTGATTCATGATTTTTTGGTTGATTACTTTTGGTTCTTTGAGTTGTCTGGCCTTGTTTGAGGACAAACAAGTTCAAGTTAGGGAGAGTTTGATAAGTGAAATTGTAGCTATATATATATATATATGTATATACTTTGCACTTATCGACTCTTTGTTGTTAATATCGGTTGCATAAACTTGACTTTTGTGTAAATACGTTTAGTTTGTGTTTATTTGTGTTTTTGTGTATATAGTGTACTGTTTGATGTTTTTCCATTCATTTTATATGTATTTATTTCATTTTGGAGCATCGAGGAATAAGGTGTCGAAGGCACGACTCCGAATGCGCGTTTTCGGAATAAAAGGTCAATTTTGAGAAGTTTTGCCCATGAGAGCCCGCTTAGCGCGTATAATACCGTTAAGCAAGAGTGCACTCAATGCATTTTGTAGCGCGCTTCTTGCGTTTTACATTTTGGCATAAGTTTAGTTTTGGAGTCCATTTAGTGCGGATAGCGCGCTTAATATGATTTAGGTCGGTTTAATGTGTAAATATCGCGTAGCCCGCTTAGCGCGGTGAGCCCGCTAAGCGCAAACTGCTGAGATTTGTTTTATAACTTCATTTTCAGTTAATTTTCTGTTATGGTCTTTGGGGTGTTTTTGTTTCGAAATTCCATCAATCTCATTTTGGATAGATTAGCTTAGATAACAACTATGGAGCTTGCATACGGATGATCTAGGGTGGATTGCTCTTTGATCGGTGCTGACAAACAGGTAGATTTGTGGTTCATTTCTCTTTTTCTTTATGTATTCTCTATTGGTTGGGTTTGAATATGTATTTTCTTTGAACTCATGTATATTTGTCGCCCTTGGCGTTGTATAAAGCTTGCTTTACAAATCTTTGTCGATTGTTGTCTAGGATTTTTGCTTTGTATTTAGGGGTTTGGATTGTTATAGACATATACTGCTCGAATTCTTATCTAGGATGATTATCTAATAGTGTCTGAATTCTAGAGATAGATTTAGCGCTGTTATTCACTTGAGCGTCTGTGATTAATGCCTCTGTGTTGGTTGTGTTGACTGAGAGATCGTTAACGCGAATAACACGATTGACCTCTGTGTTGTTAAGGTTAGTTGAGAGATCGCCACTGGGATGATATAGTGGGTGTTGTGTTTGATACGTGATGACATCGATGAGTCTCGTAGGTTAAGTATGACAGGTCGATAGGTTTAAGTTTGTGAAGAGTGGGTTATTATGCATGCTTGATAAGTCTTTTCTCCTGTGAATGAATTCTTTTCCTGTTGATAACTTTTATTTCCCTCATTTACTTTCAACCCATTAAAACTCAAACTCATTAACAAGAGATTTTTCGAATGACATTTCAATACACCAATCTTCGTGGACACGATACGATATAACTCAATATCACCCAGTAAAAATAATACTTTATTTTTTGCTTACCGCTTTACCGCAACAGCTACTCACATTGAAATATTTTTGCTCTGACTGAAAATTCATTACTTGAGAGATGAATCAATAAGTTATTAAGAAATAGAAGAAAGATATAATAGAAATTAAAGAGATGTTTGAATGTGGATTTATGATTAAAAAATGAAATTGTTATGAGATGTAGAAATTATCCTGTCACAACAAAACAAGAAAAATTAATATGATTAACTATTAACAAAAAAAAAGAAAAATTCTAATCACCTTTGGAATAGATTTCAAATGAAAAATCCAATTGAATTAATAGTTTGGATTTCAAATGACTTGTAAAGTGTAACCTAGAAACACTAATAAAATACTTTAGGCAATGACTTAGTGGTAGAACTATAAATACTGTAAAAATGCAAGTAGCGAGCTCTGTAGGGATATGATTACAAGAGGGGAGACGCTGACAGTGAGGCCGCAACTTGGAAGAGCGTGGACTAGGCAATGGTTGAGACTTGAGACGTGTATTGCACTTACTAATTAGAAAAGGGAAGGGTATAATTTATACAATGTCAACTTATACATACAGCTGTTTTGAGATATCCGACTAATTTATAACTTCTATATTGTTTTATAACTCTACGTTATTAGTAGAAACATTATAGAGCAGAGAAATGACTTTATGTGGGAAAGTATTCACTGAATATGAGATTGAAGCATCTGCAACTAAGTTTTATAATATTTTCAGGAAGCAACTTCAAAATATTCCTAATATATCTCCAGAAGTACATGGAGCTAGAGTGATTGAAGGTGATTGGGAGAGTATTGGTTCTGTCATACAATGGAAATATACAATAGGTAATTAAGGTTTTTATGTTTCATAGTTTGTTTTATTTTATTTATTGCTCAAAAGTAATACATATGATTTTAAATACTTGAGAATCCATGCAGATGGAAGAGAAGAAAGTGCTAGAGAAAAAATTGAGACTATAGATGATGAGAATAAGGTCATCACGTATAGTCACTTTGATGGGGAAGTGAGTGAGAATTACAAAAGTTTAAAGGGAACATTAGAAGTGATGGATGAGGAATATGGTGCACTTGTGAGATGGAGTTTTGAGTATGAGAAACTAAAGGAGGATATTACAGGTGCATTTCCTAATTCATACTTGGACCTTGTTTTAGAGGTCACAAAAGCTGTTGATGCTCATCTTGTCAAGGAATAGCAGTAGAGATGAAGTGTGTGTGGCTCGAGCTTTATCAAATAAAATTTGATTAATGTGTTAAATATAACATAAATGCTATCTGACAAATAATGCAACTACATCACATAATTTCATACTGTTTTTGTTTTTTTTTATAAATATTTTTCCTTATTTCAAAATGAATAATACAATTCTTTCCATTGTTTTGTCGAAAATATTGTATACCGTATCTTTACATAGATGTCATGTTTTTTTTTTTTTTTGAGATAGCATGACTTTCATCGACAACATCAATTATTTATTATTTTAGACCATATTTTTTTCACAACTTTTGAGTTGAATATCATTAGGGTTAATACAATTTTTCTAGAATCAATTTTTTTTTTATTAGTTGTATTTTGATTGGCTTAACGGTTAGAGTGGATTTAGTCTGACCTCTTCCTTGGACACGACCCGCGCGACCGCAGTCTGGGTTTCCTCGCTCTCCGACGGATACCATCGATTGTTTGTCCTCCTAGATCAGTATTGACCTACGACATCCGACGAGCGTCTCTCAGTCTGCCTGACCTCAAGTCGGCCAGACAACCAGGTACCGACCAGACCACTTCCCGTAACCTACCTCATCCTCAGAACTAACGGTTAGTTGCGGGCACACCTGCCCGGTTTGACCAAGTCCTGGAAGTTACCTATTTTTGCGGACCTGCATATCTAGGCCCAAAAATAGGAACCAATGACCAAGCGCCAGGGGCACTATATAAACCCTCACATATGTGAGGGTCAGGTATCGAATATCCATTATTCATCACTAAAATCCTAACACTTTGCTTGTATCTCTTTTGCTCCTACACTTACTTGATCGTCGGAGGACCTTACAGGTACAACTCCCATTTTTCCTCCTCGACTTTCCAGCCCATCTGAATATCATCATCTGGCCACCTTACAGGTTCTGATCAACCGATAAGATCAAACTGCTATAAATTTTGACTGTATATACTTGCACATAAAAAACAACTAATAATTATCCAATTGAAATCAGTTGGCATGCACTACCATTGTGGTTAAGCACTCCACAAATTTCACAAGTTAGGGCAGGAAGGGTTCCAACGCGCTTACTCTCATTTTATCAAGTTTCTAGAATAATGCTTCAACTTTGGCATTAGGTGGTCTAAGTCATCTACCTCATATTCGTCCCCCTTTGAGGTGCTCGTTCATTGGAGTTGCAATAGCTTCCCCAATGATAATGGTTCTGCAACATATCCTTTATAAGGGCATAGACTTATTCTATGTTTTTATTCATGAGTGCCTCCTGTTGTACCCCAAAATTTACCCTCCCATTTTCACACAAGACATGCCTCTAGAGGTCCTCAATTGCTCAAGGTTGACCAAGAATTGACCAGATAATTTTCCTCCTAAGGCAATGAGCCACCAACTAGGGTTTCATTTTTCCCCAAGATGCGTGAGCTCCAAAGGTCTCAAATTTCTTTCATGGTCCTAATATGTCTTCAAGATTATCCATGAAAAATTCCATACCTTGCACTACAAGTTTGCTCAGTCAATTACTCAAATGCTTGAAAATCAACTGTACTAGGTCAAAAGTCAATTGTGGCCTATATGCAGTCAAAATTCAAGGTTTTTGGTCAACCTTAACATTTTGAAGTAATATCCATCATTTGATCAAGGGTTGATCATGATTCCTCAAGAAATACCCCTAATTCATCAAAAGTCAAAATTGATAAATCAGGGTTTCTATAGGAAAAGTTAACTGAACTTTGACCAGGCATAACTTTCACATACTTCATTAATTTTTCTCCAACCAACGCTCATTTTGAAGAGATTCCAATTCCTTATAACTTCTCTTCAGCCCTCAAGTTCAAGAAATGCACTATTTGAAAGATACAAGCTTATACATTACAGGTCATTTTCAGAAAGTCAACAAAAGACACTTTTTGTCAAGACCATTTACATCAAGATAAAATCATCAAATACAAAATTGATCAAAATAGGGATTGAAGTAGACATCTTGAAATTTCCAAAAAGTCCTAGATAATCATCATGAGATAAAAATTGATAAAGTTATGGCTTACCCATATTGGGAAAATTTGAGAATTTTCAAGAATTATGCGTTGAGCAAACTTGAAGTTTTAGGTAAATGTCTTAATTTCTTGGCCTTCAAACATCTTCCTAAGCTTATAGAGGACCTCTAAAATTATTCTTGCCATGCCTTGCATTTGCTAACTATTTTATTCATATTTATTTTAATTTATTTCAAATAAATATAAAATAAAATGTATAAAATAATTGGAAATGGGCTTTGAGCTTTGGGTTGATGTTTTGGACAGCCTAGGCCCATAAAATTTCGTGTAAGCAATGTCCACATTCATTCAAATTCAAAAAGGACAAGATTCCATGTCTTTGGCAAAGTTTCAAAACATCATTCATGGCTTTAAAAATACATGTTTATGGTTGTTATTACCTCTGTTCTCTTGTCTCCTCCCTCTCTCTATATAAAGGACACATTAGAAAGCTTCAAGACACATGATATACAGCCTGGAAAAGCTCTACAAATTTTGTAAAAAATATCAAAGTTGTAAAATTCGTATTTGATGTTACAGCCTTCCTCAGTCCAAACAAAAGATCAAAATACATCCCTGGAGGCTCCCTGAAGCTTTTGCAATCATTACCAAGCCCTGAAACATCACAAAACGCCTCAGTAAGTTCTATTTTTATATTTTCTAACTTGTTTCATGTAGATCTGGTGCTCCTCGTATCTAGATGTGTATTATACAACATCAGACATGTGACATCAGATGTCCGTCTGATCAGATCTAGCGTACTCCATCTGCAGGCTCACGATATGCCATCAAGACCAATCCACATTGGATCCAGAAGAAAATTTGGGCCTCTCCCTTCATGGGCCAGCGAATTCAACAACCACACCCCTACTTTTTTTCTACTATCTCAGGCCCATCTAGTTTTTTTTTTGTAATGTTTTAATTTCTTTTATCTTCTTTACTTAATTAAGCAAATAATAATAATAAAAACTCACAAAAAAATTAGGCTTAGACTTTTTTTTAAAATTAAAATAATGAATTGCTTTAATTAATTAATTAAATTTTAACTGCTTTCTTATTTTAAAATGAACTAGAATTTAGGATTTAATTTATGTTTCAAATGTTTTCTTAATAAAAAAATGAAAATTATTAGAATTAGATTAATTTCATTCAATATTTATTTTCTTAAATTAAATTTAGATTTATTTTAATTATTTTTCTTGAAATAAATAAAAATAAAACAAAAAATATTTTTCTTGTTTACTTAAAATTTTTCTTAGGATTTTTAGACGTAATATTTATTTCGCGCACGTTATTTTTATTCTCGCATTTTATATAAATCATATAATTGATTATGGGATGTAATAGTCTAGATTTAAAATTCTACATTTTATTTTCTTGCACTTTTTTATGTAATTGTCCCAAAGCGTTGTAATAGTCTAGGATTTAATTTTTCGCACTTTAAATTTCTGTAAATATTAACTGTTAGTAACTAGGCGTGCATGATAAGACTGAAAATTAAAACGTTAGCAAACTTAATAATGCAAGATAAATAACTGAATTTAACACATATGCACATGCGCACCTCTAAGGTATCTCCCACTTTGGTTGCCTTTAAATAAAACAGTCATGAGGCAGGAACGCTTTAGTAAAGACCCATAATCAAAAAAGATCATAGTCCCTCGATGACTCTACAGTTGCCTTTCGGCAAATGATCTAGTCCCTAAAAGAAAATTGCTAAAGCGTCTCCACAAGGTGCCTTCATAATTGTAAAACGTCCCTTCGATTGTCCCTCAATATCCGACGATAGGGCTACCTACTCACTAATAGTAGGATAGCACTATCTAAAAGAAAGGAGGAAAAGAACATCCTTTTTCGAGTAGGGAGACTGTTCTTAAGTACTTTCTCAAACTTGAATTTTTCACAGTTACACACTTTTCAAACTTCTTTTCAAAAATGCTTTATCACACTCTTGGAGACTGATACAAGAGTTATCATAAAGCAAACAAAAATCTTTCAAAACACACAAACACAAACAGTTTTTAAAAAATGAGCAAGTACCTAAGAGCCCGTGGAAAACCACAGATGGAAATGATGCTAATACCTTCCCTTTCCATAATCTACCCCCTTACTCAAAAAACATCTCGAAAAGGTCTTTTTCTGTTCTTTTCATCCTTTCCTTTGTTGGATAAAAGAAAAGACGGTGACGACTCTTGCTTACCGCATATTTGCGAATACAAAATGCAAAACCAGTATTAAACAGTTAGTTCTGCCACCATACCACACCCCCACTAACAACATCGTCTATCGTCATTATCACTGTATACATAAGAATAAAATCATAATCATCATTAGTCAAGAAAAAAGCACAAGTCAAAATGTTAAAGTTATATTTCTAAGAGCTAATCAAAGTTAAATCAAGAAGGAAATGAAGTTGTGAAAGCTCGTCTGATCTTATGTTTATTATTTTATCTTGTAGTTTGATTACTTAAATATAAATGAAGCAAGAGTAAGTCTTACGATACTAAGGAGATGTGCACACACACACGCATGCGCACCCACGCACAGACGCGTATACATACACACATACACACACGTGCACACACACATGCATACACGAATGCACACACACGCACACACACGCACACACACACACACACACACACACACACACTCACACACACACAAACACACACACAAGCATACACACACACACGCGCGCGTACACACACATAAACACATACACAAGTATTTAAAACCTCTCATCTTTATACTAAAACTTCTTAAAACTAATTCAGGAAAATACTTAATCAATTAAAATCTCCCTAATCAATTAGGGAAGCCAAAATAAACTGTCTAATCGAATATGACCTTCATCTAATCGATTAGAATAAGAGTAACACCTATTAATTGATTAGACATGCTTGCTTATAAATTAAGTAATGTCACGAATTAGGATTTCCTTATCTA